TCCCGATGTATACTTGCCCGCAACTGCATGGTATGCGGTATACTCCTGCAGCGGTGAGGGGTTCTGTGCTCCTGCACTCTGAAGATGCCAGTCACAGGTGCTGGCGAAAGGTTAGGAAACAAAACTTCAAGAACACGGCCACACAGCCTGGAAGACCCACACCAGCCACAAACAAAATTATTTATTTATAATGTAAATTTCTGCCAAACTCAACAATGACTCTAAGCAGCATACAAATTAACATTACATTAACTGTCACCCTTTCCTAGGACAACTGAGTTGTAAAGGATCTGAACCATCTCCTTTCTTTTCTCCCTACCTTACAAGCAGATTCTTGACCAAAAACAGCATCTTCTCTCTTAGACTTACATAAAGTCGTGTAAGCGATTTATCACAAAATTAATCCCTGCTTCTTTCATTTGTATTGCATGTTCCAAAGTTTACTAACATCTAGGCAATAAATTTAAAATGAAGGCACTTGCATTTGTTCTTGTACAGGCACGTTTAGCTGCCCATGCGAACTTGCAATATCTTAGATTTGTACGTACATTTAGACCACTGCCCCCCCCCCACACACTTATTGCATAGCTTTCTTAAAATATGAACTTTAGAGAATGAAGTCTGAAAAGGTTTTCCTGGACATGATCTAAAACTAAACTCCTTAAATGCACAGCAATAGAATTATCCCAACGGCTCCATTGGGATCTATACTGTTTATACTGTTCCTGCCCTGCTGGTCTCTCCTTCTCCAGCACAAAGGTGATTCCTTGTAATTTCAAGAGCATTTTCAGCCTGAATTATTAGAAGGAGAATTCTGGACCTTCCAGCTTCTGTACAAGCCAAAACTTTTCTGAATCTGTTTTTGACAGTTGTCTGCTTTTATTTTTAATATTTCCTTCAGCTGTTCACAGGACTCACCCTTTCTTGAACCTCTTTGCACCTTGATTTCAGTCGCTGGAGCCCATAACCCTGTTTGAGTTTGAAACATTCTGCAGGTCCACGCAGGCATTCCTAAGAGTGCTCTACGTGCAGCTACCCTTGAAGAGTATCCAGAAGCTACAGCTGGCACAAAATGCAGCAGCGCGGACAGTTTTGAAT